GATAAGAGCTCGGTTGAGTCACGGATGGCTATAATGTGTACCCGCCGCGCGCGTATATATTGCTTTGAATACTGCTAACAGACGCCTGATCAGCTTGCCTGTATCACCGCGGGTATGACCTGTGCCCGAATAGTGACGTGCTGGATCATATAGACGGATACATCATAATCGTAGGTACAGTAGGCTAGCACGACGATACAAAAGTACCGAGATCGCAGCAGTAACCCAGTGCATGGGTGTTGGCTATCACGACAACACCCATTGGCGGCATTGCGGGATATGCACGGACACATCAAATAGCACGCCGAGCTGATAAGTAGGCAGCGAAAGTACTCCATCTAATGTACATGAACTATTATTCAATTCAAGTCTAACCATCACTACGATCTGATACTCTGCCTACAGCCATATATCTTCGTATGTTGCAGCCGGTCAAAAGAATGTGCACGCAGTGGTGCCTCTTCGTCCGATGTGGACGAGGCCTTTTGTCGTACATATCGGACCCAGTATAATGTCAGTCGGAAAGGATTTACGCCACTCTGTCAGTCAGAAGCTATACAAATAAGTCAGAAAGTACGTCAGCTATGCAAGTAAGATAAATGCATGCGGAAGATAGTGGAAATACCCTTTAGTAACATCACAAACAGCTCAGCGGAAGAATTTCAAGGCATAATATTGATGTTTGTGGCGACCATCGTCAGAACCTACTTGCTCTAAAAGGTACTTCGCGCGATAGGCTGACCAAACCTTGCTCTAATAGACCGTCGCAAACAAAAATATGGTGTCGACTGCCTCACAGCGATGACGTGACAGATGGTATTAAGTTTAAGTAGGCTTATTTACTCCAGCTAAACTGGGATCCCTCACCGATTTATGCCAATTGGGATCATCATTGAAACTGACACGTCTTCTGAACAGCACATATAAACGCTTTAGCCACGCGCCCCTCCGATTCGTGTCATTTGGGTAGCTATTCGCTCAAATGGTATTAAACAAAACCCTTCCGGGTAAGATAATGCTCATCACGATAAACCCTGGTCATGTCTACCATAACATGTGAGCACTATAGATACTGTGTGCGGTGTTGTTTTGGAACGTAACACAAGTATATCACAGTATACATTTATTATATGTAGCTTCGCTCTAGGTAGAAATTCTAAGCACACCGCAGCGCAGCGGAGGTGTCCAGCCCACGCTACACCAACCAACCATGCCCTAGCGTCCGCGGAGCGGACGCCCAGAGCGCTAGTCTTAATCTTACCTCTCTAGTGGAGTGTGCTGTCTGTCCGTCTGTCTGTCACGGGCTAGGGTTAATTAATGTAACGCAAATGCGCGCATTCTACTGGCTGCCGAGCGCAGCGAAGGCGGCCTCGATTCGCTAAAATTGCAATATGTGGTGTACACACTGTATGTGGTCTACACATCGTACTTAAATGCACCGTTCAAAAATCATTTTGCCCCATTTTCAACTGTGGGCCGCCACCTCATGCGAAGGGCGCTTCCTGTGTACGCGTTAGTTAGCATAATTAAATAGCACCGATGAGCACACACGTACAATATCGTCGTAGGAGCCGCTGCAAATTTTTGTAGGCCCTGGTGACTTATATTTAGGCCTCAATCGAAACTTTAGTACTTATAGGATATATAATGATATTTAGGCTTCGTAGTACTTTTAATTAATAAAACTTACAAAACTTTTGAGTAATACTATGTTTTGAGAATTTTATATTTTTCTTGCAGACGTTTATAGCAGTACTACAAAAAATTAATTAGTTGCGCAAGAAAAAAACGCATGTTATTACTAATACGAATCAATTTAAACCAAAGTACCGGTATTATATTTGCGTTAGATAAAGATGCACAATTTATTACTAATATTAAATATTCAAAATGTATATATAGTGGCTTCCCACCATCCCACCCCACATAACCATGTACACCACTCCGCCGCCGATAAAAAAGGATCGTATTCCTTTGTATTCGCGCGCGTAGTGTACGACCTTAAGAGATTGTGCGCACTTTTCACCACGATATGTAGCATACATCAAACAAAATAAAAACAGCGTTTGCGATTGAATTAGCGCGGAGGCAAGTGGATAAACAAGAACACGAAACACAGAGGAACACCGGCGCACACTATGTACACGATGGGGTAGAGGGAAGAACACGAAGCACAGAAGGCCACGGACGTTGAAAAAGGACTAAATTAATGAAGGCAGCTAGCCATTCTGAAAAGCACGAACCACGGACGAGCACGCTACCATGAAAACTTGGAATGGCAAGAATATGATGGGAGCGTATGGATCACGGAAAGTAACTGAAGTAATGGCACCCCAACATGCTGAAAAACACGGGCCACGGAAGCGGTAAGGTGCACGGAAAGCAATTCTTCCATAACACCACGGTAGAACATGAAGCACAGACGATGAACCTAACACAAAGCCACAGGAGAGCATAAGCGGGAAATCACCGAGCATTAAAGCACGATACCAGGGTAGAGCCAAGCCACGGAGCACAGTGTTACGGTAGCTCACAATAGTTCGGACGACAGACCAACCACGATACCGCGAGATAATACGATTGCACGGACGGTGGTCCAGCCACTAAACCGTGAGATAACACGCAGCAACGGGAGTTATAGACGGCAAATCGCGGAGCCACAAAAGGCGATTCCACGATTGCACGGGCGGCAGATCAGCCACGGAAGCACCGGGGAGCGCTTTTGGATATCACGATTGCACAACGTGGATCAGTATGCCATTGTTGAATATAATAACACGGGAAACACAGATGCACTACGCGAGCACGAAAGCATAGGATAGCAGAATTATACTGCGCTCGCATGATAGCGCGATAACGCGGTCGATGAAAGTCACACCAGGAGAGCACGTTACACGGGGGACGGATCCATATAACTACGGAATAGCACCCGTCGGCGAGGGTACCGTCGATGAGACGTCATGGACCATGAAATGAATATGGACCACTAAACCTGTAAAACTCACTCAAGACCCTTGGGAACACGGAATAACTAGCAGCCACGAAAGGGTGTCGTACTACTGAAAAGCATGAGCCCAAAAGAGAGAGCGCATTAACGGAAAAGGGCAATATCCACGGAGGAACATAGACGCCAACCAGTAGTACGGAGCAACGGACGCGTACGAATTAACGATACCGTACACTGCCACATGAGACTACGAAATGACAGGTGTTTTAAGTGCACGACACAACATCGCACGGGGATGGCCAAAGCCTCGGGGTACAAGATCAGACTGAAAGCACACAACACACGAAGTACTTAAAATTGCGGCCACCTTATCTCCAACAAACCATGCCACTCCGCCGCGTAGCGGCGGCGAACGGCTAGTCTTAAACATCTACTGCAGCAACCTGTCTGTCCGTCACACTAAATTGTCGTGCCTGTCACGCTTTTCCGGACAAATCATTGGATAAAATAATTTAAATATTCCTACTGGCTGCCGAGCGCAGCGAAGGTGGCTTCAATTGGTTAAAACTAGAATGTGTAGTTGACATTAATAAATGCATGTGTTTCCCAGTTTACATATGGGGATTTGCACAAAGTCCGAAGGCGGCATCGTTTAAATATTAAATACTTTTTCATAATGCATGTTGTTATTGATATTTGAATACTACAGTAAACGGAGGGTAGGGTGCTTAGCGTACACGTAAGCATGCGTGTTTCCGAGGACATGGTTTAAGTATACTAAATACTCTGTACTCAGTAGGATCTGTGTGTTACACTGACTAAAATGAAATTTCATTTTTCTTACTGCAAAAATATTAGCATTAATAAGTTATCTGAGTGGGTTTCTGGTATTGCTAAATCGTACATGTTACATGTACAGCAGTAGCCGGTCGTGTAGACTGGCCGTAAGAACAAAACTGTGCTTATAAACGTTGTCACTTGATCCACAAAGATATATAGTGTTAGATTGACGTGTGAACAAAAAGAAGTTATATGTGCTGATGACAATTACTACTGTAAGCGAATTGAACTTGACCATTGTTTCCTTAGCGTTTTTTTAGACAACAAAATTCTGATACTTCTTAATAGGTAGACGCGTTGCCGACAAGGGCGTAAAATAAGGTTTTATATGCAGTGGTAAGATAACAGCACAACATGAGAGGTGTCAATTTTGGTTATTATAAGAAGGCCCGTAAAGAAACGTTAATCAACTTAGAGCCTAATATTTTGGAATCATCAATTAAGTATCAAATAAAAATACCGCCGTCAACAACAACAACAGCAAGGCGTCTTGCGACGCATGGTTATATTCAAAGGCTATAAGCATAACAGGCACAGATTGAGTGCTAATTCTGAATCAGCACAAAATGAACACACTTCAAGGCATAAAAAAATGCTACAGCTTGAATATTTTTATTAAATATTCAAACTGTAACACTTTTAATTTTCTTTCAAAGTAGCGAGTTTGGTTTGCGAAGTGGTTAATAGGCAGTTTATTACAAGCTTAGCCAGGTAGTACAAGCGGGTATTTGATGCAAGCTGGACAGATATTCTTTGCATTGATGCAATCTAGGTTTCAGAAACGGCCCGTGAAATCGAGCACGACGCTAAACTAAATATTTTATTTAGCGGTTTTAGACTGAAGTGCAGGTGCTTCTGGGTGGAAGATTAAGGTACAGTGATAGCCAACAACAATAAAGAGACTTTGCCAAGATCACTAGCGTAATCGTTTATGAGCATGGTAAGTATGATGCTAGGGGCTCACTCTTTTGTACCGGTAGAAATATTTACACGGCTTACTGGGAACTCAGCATTTTGTAGCAAATGAAACGCAGATTTATGAAACTAAAGAAGTCGATTTACGTACATATGGCAAAAATCTGGAGTAAAACCGAAATTACCGGCGGCGCTCGGCTAGTGTCAAGTCAACACACTTGTCGAGCATCTGAAGAACATCGGTCATTTTTAAATTTGTAAGCTAACGCGCACGTGTTTGCCTTCGCCTCTAATAGAAATGTCTTCCGGTCGCCTCGATGCGGAGCGCAGCGGGAGCCCTGTGCCTGCTCGCGAGCTCGCGTTCGTGTTGCACAAGAGCAAGCGCAACGTAGAGAGGCTGGAGCGTTTGGAGCAACTACTACTCCAAGACCCCTTGTTCAACCACGAAAAGATGAACTACCTTACACGTGGGGAACAGTACAAGCGTGCTCTGCAGATGTCGGCTCGCGTGGAAATCCTGGCACGTCGCAACCGATTGAGTGAGGAGGACACGGAGCAACTGCGTCTCATATTCCAAGGCACCACGAGCTGCGCGGCGGCAACGACTCTGCACACGCTCATGTTCATCAAGAATCTGGGGCTGCTCTTTACTGATGAGCAGCAGACGCGCTGGATGGAGATGGCCCAGCAGTGGCGCATGGTCGGATGCTACGCTCAGACGGAGCTTGGCCACGGCTCCAACGTGCGTGGGCTTGAAACGACGGCCACGTATATCCCTGATACCGACGAGTTCGAGATCCACTCACCCACCTTGACGTCTATGAAGTGGTGGCCCGGTGCGTTGGCCCGTACCGCCAACTTTGGAGTGGTGTATGCACGACTGCTGCTAGGTGGCAAGGACTACGGCGTGCACAACTTCATGGTGCAGCTACGTGACCTGGAGACGCACGACGCGATACCTGGTGTGACTTTGGGCGACGTTGGTCCGAAGATCGGATTTAACAGCGTGGACAATGGATATTGCAAGTTTAACCGCGTTCGGATCCCACGTCTGAATATGGGCATGCGGTTCGCGACGGTAACCGAGGAGGGCAAGTACGCGAAGAACTCGGATGTACCTCAGGAGGTGTTGTACTTCACGATGCTACAGACACGTATGGTTTTCATCCGATCTGCGGGTATCAATCTGGCGAAGGCGTGTACTATCACAATCCGCTACTCGGCTGTTCGCCAGCAAGGTTACGATGCCAATAACCCCAAGACGAAGGAGGAATTGAGTGTGTTGGACTACCAGACGCAGCAGTACCGACTGTTCCCGCTCCTCGCAGCCGCGTACGCTATTGTGTTGACCGGCAAGCTGAGATTTGTATGGAAGTTGTCGGAATTAATCCTCCTAATCTCGACGTACTGAATTATGGTGACAGGTAACCGCGTGGATGACTTTGCGGCTTCACTATCTGAACAAGCGAAGAGCGGCGACTTGAGCCTCCTCACAGTGGGTCACGTCATGAGTTGTGGACTTAAGGTCTTGACAACGGATCTTGCCACTGCAGGCATTGAAACTGCTCGTCGGGTACGGTGGAGTTTACCTCAACTGCGTTGGAATAATACGTGTCTTAATACTTAATGTACCTTGATGTACTTCAGGCATGCGGTGGCCATGGCTATCTGCTTTCAAGTGGTAAGCCGCACCCGTCCTAATAATTTCTTGAACGACACTCACATTTTTATATATGCAGGCTTGCCGGTACCAGGCTATCTTTGTTGACTAGAGTGTCAATTTTATCCCAACTTCAATTGTTATTATGTTATTTTTTGTGCAGATTTTGCTGGGAGACGCTGCACAGACGGTCACCACCGAAGGTGACAACCTTGTGCTTTCCATTCAGGTTCGTGGCGTAACTGAAGATCTCCTCAAAAATGACCGCACACACTGATATTGTTGTGAATTTAAAGACTACTCGCGCTCTGCTGAAGATTTTAGCTTCGTACCAGGAAACCGGAAAGGTGCCAGAACCTATGACATTCTTGGCAAACATCGACAAGTTGCCGAATGCAGCCCCTCGCACCCAGAAGCAATGGCTTGACCCGCAGACCTACGTAGAAGCGTTTGAGCAGCGGTTCCTGTACCAGCTTCGTACCTTCGTACAGAAGATTTCAACTGCATCGTCTGTCACTGCTGGTTTGCAGAACAACTCGATGGACACGCTGAAGCTGACCAACTCATATGCCAATTTGGTGATCGTCAAGACTTTTGCTGAAGCTGTCGAGACTCCGTCGACACTCACTTCGGAGTATCTGTCGTCTCCGGCTATTCTGAATGTTGTGCGTCTATTGTGCCACTTGTTCGCACTCACGCAACTTGAAGCCACCGCCGGAGAGTTCATGGAGAGCGGATGTGTATTCCCTAGTGATATGGCGATCATCCGAGCCAACATCGAGGAGCTACTCAAGCTTATCCGTCCGCACGCTGTGACGCTAGTAGACGGCTTCAATTTCTCCGACCACATGCTGAACTCGACTCTGGGTCGATACGATGGGAACGTGTACGAGGCTTTGTACGAGTCAGCACAGCACGATCCTCTCAACCACTCGTCGGACAAGGTGGCCTTGCACGAGTTGCTACGTCCCATCCGTGACGAGATCTCAAAGTCGAGACTGTAGGGAGTCGCTAAGATGTTGATTTATTCAACCAGGCCGAGCTGCATAATGTAGCGCATTTTGTTTAATGAAAAATAGCAACTTCTGAGTTAATGGCAAAATGTCTTAAGCCCCTTCCTTCACTGTATAAGAAAAAGTTTTCGCCATTTCTAAAGGTCAAAATTGATGTGCTCAACGTTTGAGCAACTTCAACTTCTGCTTAACACTATCCAAGTCAATATGAAAACTTCAACTTTTGTAATGAATGTTGAGTAAACAAACCTTTGAAACCATCAGCTCGACTTCACTTGTGAATTCTCGCAGTGATCTGCACCTGTGCGAGCCTCGAATCAAGACCGATACTTCATCATGTCGTCGCTATTGGATGCGGAGCGCCGTAAGAGCTCTGTTCCTTCAAGGGAGTTGGCTTACATTCTACACCAGAGCAAAAGCAACGTGGAGAAGCTCGAAAGACTGGAGCACCTCCTCGTCCAAGACCCCGTGTTCAACCATGAAAAGATGAACTACCTCACTCGCGGTGAACAGTACAAGCGCGCTACGCAGATGGCTGGACGAGCTGAGATCATTGCCCACCACAACCATCTCAGCGAAGAAGACACTGCGTTACTCCATGTGATTCTGCAGGGCTTCACGGGTTGTCCGTCTTCAACTGCTCTCCACACAGGAATGTTCATCAAGAACCTGGGACTGCTATTTACGGATGAACAGCAGACGAGTTGGATGGAGATGGCCAAGCAGTGGCGCATGGTCGGATGCTACGCTCAGACGGAGCTCGGACACGGCTCCAACGTGCGTGGACTTGAAACGACGGCCACGTACATCCCTGATACCGACGAGTTTGAGATCCACTCACCCACCTTGACGTCCATGAAGTGGTGGCCCGGTGCGTTGGCCCGTACCGCCAATTTCGGAGTGGTGTATGCACGACTGCTGCTAGGTGGCAAGGACTACGGCGTGCACAACTTCATGGTGCAGCTACGTGACCTGGAGACGCACGACGTGATGCCTGGTGTGACTTTGGGTGACATCGGTCCGAAGATCGGGTTCAATAATGTCGACAACGGGTACTGCACGTTCAGCCGTGTGCACATTCCACGCTCGAATATGGGCATGCGGGTTGCACAAGTGACTCGTGAGGGCAAATACGTGAAGAACTCGGATGTACCTCAGAAGGTTTTGTACTTTACCATGCTACAGACCCGCATGTCGTATGTCCGCTCAAGTGGATTGGCATTGGCCAGAGCTTGCACAATCACCATTCGCTACTCAGGCGTTCGTCGTCAGGGTTACGATGCCAACAATCCGAATTCAAACGAAGAACTGAGCGTGCTGGACTATCAAACGCAGCAATACCGGTTGTTCCCGTTGCTCGCTGCGGCGTACGCCATCACATTGACAGGTAAGACGACTATGTACAGTTGGCATGTATGAAGTCACACCGACGTATCATTCTTTCGCAGGAAACCAAATGGATGCGTTTTCGCTGCAACTGGCTGATCAAATCAAGCACGGCGACCCGAGCATGTTAGTGGTTGGCCACGCAATGAGCTGTGGACTTAAGGTGCTTGCATCGGAAATGGCTTGCAACGGTATCGAGACTTGCCGCAGGGTACGTGCATCCCCCTGCAAATATCAGTTTTACACGGAGTGACATGGTATCGTTGTCGTTGTAGGCTTGCGGTGGACACGGGTACCTCCTGTCGAGTGGTAATCCATGCCTCATAAAGGCTAAGGCTGCTATCTGCGATCATTTTTTTCATCACTCTTTCGTATTTTACAGGCCTGCCCGTTCTTCTTGGCGATGTCCTTCAAATGGTGACTGCTGAAGGCGAGAATTTCGTCCTTTGCCAGCAGGTTAGAGAAAAGATTCACACTTTCCTAGCAATATGGGGCACTAGACGCTCAACCTTTCTTGCTACCATGTAGACGGCGCGTGCGTTGCTTAAGATCCATGGGCAATTTCAATCGAGCGGACGACTTCCTACGGCAATGCAGTTCATCGCGAACATCGGGAAGCTCTCTCACGCTCAACCTCGGAGCAAAGTCCAGTGGCTCGAGCTCGAAACGTATCTCGACGTTTTCCAGCAGCGCTTTTTGCATTCTCTGCGTGGACTTGTGAACAAGGTTTCGTCGGACTCGTCCATCGCCGCGGGCATCCAGAACAACTCGATGCACTGCTACAAACTGTCGTACGCGTACACCTACCTCGTCTTGGTAAACAACTTTGTGCTGGCTGTTCGCTCTGCATCACCCGAGATCCAACCAGTACTTCAGTTTCTGTGCAAGCTCTTTGCACTCACACAGCTCGAAGCCACTGCCGGAGAGTTCATGGAGAGCGGATGTGTATTCCCTAGTGAAATGGCGATCATCCGAGCCAACATCGAGGAGCTACTCAAGCTTATCCGTCCGCACGCTGTGACGCTAGTAGATGGCTTTAATTTCTCGGACCATACGCTGAATTCGACGTTGGGTCGCTTCGATGGGAACGTGTACGAGGCTTTGTACGAATCAGCACAGCACGATCCTCTCAACCACTCGTCGGACAAGGTGGCCTTGCACGAGTTGCTACGTCCTATCCGCGACGAGATTGCTCGTGGAAAGTCGCGTCTTTAGGCCGTTGAAGAACGTGGTGAGCTCTACGAGCTGAAAACGTTTTCAAGATGTTCCACAGAATATCAAGATATTCTACAGTGAGTGGCAAGTGAGGTCCAAGTACATTTTGTTTGCTATACCTGCTACGTAGTACATGTAGTCGAGTGTGTTCATAAGGGGCCTCCAAGCGACTTGTCAAAGACACTCACGATCCCCGTGCATGGTCGCTCTGTGCAAGGTGTAACCTTGTGGCCTTGGACTTGTCCAATAACGACAGCATCGTGTCGAGGAATTGAAATTTGTTTGAGGACAAGAAATTGAGCGTCAGCTTCTTCCAGCATTTTCAAAATCCCGAAAGACTTTAGCGTCTCGATCTTGTAGTTAAGTTTATTGTCTTCCCAAACATAACCACCCAAGAGTATCATCTTGGATCGTACTCCGAGTGTTGCGTCAACACTGCATGGCGCTGTGAGCACCTTGAAAGAACCAAAGGTCCATCGAATGGTAATGAGCGCTCCAGTTGCTCGTACAGACGTGATAGCAGCGACAATACCGAGGACAATTATTCCGTGTCCTACCAAACTCCACACGTAGTGCGAGACTGCTTCGGCTGTTCTTTTGGAATGCTTGAGGCTAGATCGGTTTAGTGATGTGAGGTAGTTCTGCATCACTGCCGCACAGAGGAGTTCACCCATCATTGAGGTCTCATAATTGAACAATAGACGTTTAATCAAGCAGCGTGATTTCTCCCCCAGCCAATTCATACTTTCGACCATTTCAAATAACATTGAGAGTACTCCTGCCAAATTGTATCCAAGTGAGATATACTGCACCTTTGCCAACACCCCGTCTTGAGCGATTAGCATGAATAGGTCACTCATCAGACCTTCGACAAGTAGATACAACAGTGCCGCACGATGATAATTTCTTGCTCCGTGTGCCGACAACCGCATACTCTCTTGGACGTACACAACTGCGTCTTGAAACCGAATTATCTCTTGCATGTTGTCACATCTTCTCCCATAACGCTTGCAAGAAATGTAGCTGCGACGCATCAGTATAGAACGGTACATGATCCAGATTGCGCAGAAAAAGCCGTACCAGTACGACCGCCTGTAATTTATGTCTCCGGTGTCATTGGCAAGCCACACGCCGTTACTATCGTAAGTTCCGAGCCCGTTTACCCGGACGTACGCCGTTCGATCGTTTACGCAGTACGTGCCCGACGCTTCTTCGTAGAGCGCGTAGTAGCCAATGCTTCCATGGTAAAAGTAGTGCTGGAAGGGGTAACTCTCATCGGAACAGCTTGCTGGCGTCGTGGACGACGGAGCTACTCGCTCGGTTCCCAAGTGATATGCCCCATGAATGTTATACTGTGGCACCACGAAGTGACAGATTCTACCAGTTGATTTATCGTAGGAATGCGTAACTCCAACATTCCACCATGCCCCAGCCACCATCAATCCTTCAACAGGGCATAGTTCCTTGAGATTACCAGTCTCGGCTACTGTACCATGCGAGACGACCAAGTCCTGAGTAATCTTGTGAGGTGTCACGAACTTGATGTAGCTACGGGCCTGGAGGAACAATGGCATTAGTCCCACACATATCCACACACCCAGTAGTAGCCTCTTTGCAGTGAAAAGGGCCAAATCTTGACCGGTACTTGGCTTCGCTCCAGCGTCCTCTTGGTACTCGCCATCCACGGAATAGACCCGGGATTTATGTTTCGACAGTGAGAAGTGACGACCGCCGCTAATTGCCGATGCGAATGTGCTAACGCTGCCCTTCGACCTTGCGTTCACCATGGTCAGCGTACGGTTCTCCTCCGATATGTTTTTCGAGAAATGACTGCTACGACGCATTCGGGGTTTCCCCTCCTTATTTTTTTCATGGTAGCAGTAAAGATAGCAAAAAGCAGAAGCAGAAAAACATGTCAACCAACGAGAGACGAAGCCAACTGAAGTCGGCCTTTGTCAGCTTGACTAATTTGGCATTCCTACGCAGTCGGATGCACCTTCCCGTAACGGGAAGGTGCTTGTACCGGTAGGTAATCATAGTCCGATAAGAATCTAAATCACCGTGATGCCAAGAAATCGTTGGGATTATAGACGAAATTGCAAACGTGAGCACAATCTGATTATGTAAGGCGTTCCGTAAAGCATATGTTTTTAAGCAAAATCATGATTCTACTCGGAGTGTGACTAACACGGAATGTCGGGTCTCCTCTGTAGCTTTCTTGCAGTTGACGATGTCGAAGAGCACAAGCAAGACGAAGAAGAGCAAGACAGTCAGCTCGTCCAAGAGGCCTCAGGGCAGCAAGAGTAAGACCGTCAGCACGTCCAAGAAGTCTCAGGGCAGCAAGTCGAAAGGGACCAAGACCAAGGCGGCCAAGAAGAAGGTCTCAGAAGAGGACCAGCGTGCTACTTGGACTGAAATCCAGGATTTTGACCTGTTAAACAAGTTCTTCGATGCTCGCAACGAGCGGGAGCTCGCGACGGACACAGGGATCAAAATCAAGGCCTGGAACATACTCGTAGCAGAGTTGAACACGATGCACAAGCGCAAGTTGAGCAAAGGTAATTACATTCCATGCATGCACAGATAGCGGCGATGCTAACGAGAGCTACTATCTTTTTGTGCCAGACCAGTACAAGTCCAAGTTCGCGAGGCTGATGCACGACTACGACCTGTACAAGCACATTCGCAGCTTGCGTGGAGCCGGTATGGATTCGGACACCACTCCAACGCGTGATGACGATGTCTGATAGCGTTTGATGGCGTCCAGGCCTCAAGACAAGAGCAAGATTAAAGAAATCAAGAAGACTGGCTTCGTGCGCGCAACGGTTTGCTGCCTAATAGCAGGTGATTAGACGAGTTCTGAGCTCTATGTATTGTTGAGGCTTGACAGGCTTCAATGTGCAGGAGATACGCGTGCGAACGGCAAGGATGCTCGTACAGTGCATGAACGCGTTTTTAGCTGAACTTGATGAAGTTGATGCTCAAGATGCTGAAGAGAGCCCTGGAGAGCCCTGGTCGCGCTCCTGCCCCTGAACAATCTGATTCAAGCTCCGATGAAGATGATGATAAGCTTGAAAGCGACAGCAAAACGGAAACACCAACGACGGAGAGCTCACGTAAGGCATCGCCAAAACCGCCCGGTCACGAGCAACGCGCGGCGAAAATCAAGCGCATTCGTGGAGGAAGGGGTAAAAGCTAAAGCGCAAAGAAGAGGGCCAACACCGGTGACGCGGTGGCGAACAAACTGGATTCGTTACCCAAGGTGATGAAACATTATGTGAAGATGAAAGTGATGAAAGTGGTGGCGAACGAGAAACGGCCTGAATGCGAGCTAAGCACGAGCTTTGTCGCTTCGTTGAAGGGGTCTGGGTTTTGTGGTGTAGAGATTTCCAGATTCGACCATGCGCCAACCTACTTTAGATCAAGAATCGGCTCGGTCTGATAACCCAGAGCTTAGGAGCAAAGGATCACGGTAAGTACTTGGCGATCTGTCCGGATGATGCTATCCGGATAGCCGATGAGCTCAACGGTCGCCTGAACCCAGGTGAAGGGTCGGTAGAGATCCGAAACGACTACATTTCACTAGATATGTGTAAGAGAAGCATAGGATTAAATAGGGGGAGCCGAAAAGGCTCCCAGAAGATAACAGAGCAGAATTTTCCTAGTCCAAGACACGTGTACACTTTTCCGGTAAGTCCCTGCATAGGGCTGGATTATGCCTGCCGTCAATACTCGAGAGGCATAGCTTGTAGGGTATTGACTGGTAGCGCCAAGAGATTAGGTCGGTCCGGGTAGGACAAAGTCTCGCTACGCGCGAAAGAAAGTCCCGCCTACTCAGCGGGCCGGTACGTTGGATAGCCCGGGTGCCGTAAAACTTCTAGCTGAGCCTCTGCGCTCGGTGACCTGTAAAGCGCTCGCGCGCCGTCGTCCATCCTTTGGTGGAGGGCACAGGGTTGTGAGCGAGCTCAGCCGAGCCAAACTCGGCGGAGCCTCGGAAGTGATCTGACTTGGTTGGTCGGAACCGAGTGGAAGCGAGCCACTCGTCTGTCCCGGAAGGGCCGGGCCGCGAGGGGACCACCCTCTGCGCAGGCCATACAACCGCCAAACTAACTCGGCGATTCGTTGTGGTTTGTGTAAGGAATCCACATCTGACGGTATTTGTATGTTCTACTACACCACAACTGCCGCGACCCGGAAACAGGAGTGTGTGCTTGTTTTTATAGGTGCCAGCTAACCAAGTTAAGAGGAAGAGAATAGAAAGAAAGATTGAAGATGATCAAGGGATCAGCAACTCCGAGCGACGGAAGCCCAGCGACGGCTGGAGGATCACCTCTCGCGGGGTCGGACCCGGCGGATCAACGACTCATCGCCATTGACGATGGAGGTGGGACGAACCGTCCAATTCGACGAGGATGGCCAGGACCAGGAGAGCGAGAACGGAGATGCAAGCGAAGGAGAGTATGAAGAGAAGGCCGAGACCGCTGAGTTGGAAGAAACGAAAACTACCACCGAGCTACTTGGCGAGGTGGAAGAGTTGACGCAGCAGGTGAGACGCATGGGAGCCCCACGTCCTGTCGAGCGTAACTTATCCGCCGAGCTCGACGAAGGTGCGGACGATGAAGAAGATGAAGAAGAACATGGCGTTGCTCAAGGGGACTGTGTGCCCCTTATTCCGAAAGCGACGAGGAACGCCGATACGCCGAGCGCCAATAAAGTGTTGGCTCGACTCGGCGAGGAGATGAGAACAAGATCGGAATGGATGATGATGTTCGCGCCTGTGGCGATGGCGCAGGCGAAGTGCCCGATGTTGGGTCCTGAGTTAACTCAACCGGTGCGTGCAGCCAACATCAATCAGTTGGTGGAAGAAACTGTGTTGCTGTTGAAGGCGATGGGCTATCGGTGCAACAGCCGACCAAACAGCCTCATCCTGTCCGACTGGAGTCTGACCCGTGGCGAAGCTGAGCTCTGGCAATGGAAGAAGAAGTTGAGAGTGGCGTTTGGACTGGTGAAAGCCCCTGGTGGAACGAAGAAGGTGTACAGCCGAGTTCAAAACACTCGGCGAAGACCCAAACAAAATTCCTTTGCCGAAGACCCCGGAGACGAAGAGACGTGAAGTGTTCCGCGCTACGCAAGGGACTACGTACTTCGAGGACTCCCACATGCTGACTCCAATGAAGCTAAACCCGACTCAGCGAGCGCCGAGTCGTGGACAGCGGAATGTTGGTCGTTACCGTGAATTGTATGACGCTGCAGACGAGGCTGAGGATTACGAGGAGGATGAGGAAGACGAAGACGCATTCGACTCGGCGAAAGAGGTCCACATAATGTTGTAAGACGCCATTTCGACTCGGCGAAAGAAGTCCACATAATGTCGTACGCCAATGACTGGGCACTGAGCAGTACCAAGATGCAGCCGCACGACGACAAGCTGCACCCAGTTCGCTTCTGCGGACGCGTACTAAAGGAGAATTAACTCGGCTATCATCCCGCTGAGAAAGAAGTAGAGAAAGACGCTACACGTCTACACCCGTTTCTCCACGCTGGAGTGGGTGTTTAAGTCAAAGTCGTTGTACGGCCGCGCAGTCAGTTTCGCAGTTATGTTGTCGCCCTACGATTTGAAGTTGAAGTGAGTACGTGAACGAGATGTAGACTTCGCCCAGTTGCTCCAGGCGTCGATAACCCCGTTTATCGGACTCGACGAGTCCTTGAAGCATCTTACGCCTCCCTCCAAGAACTCGGCGACAGTTCGAATGGACCCGAGCTGCTATACGCCCGAATACCAGCTGACTTTGCGGGATGTGTGCTGTCATTTGATGGCTCAGCGAAGACAGCTAAATACGGCGGGTATGGAAGTTGTTCGTGGATACTGTGGCGCCTTCCGAATTGGGACATTGAGATCGCTGCTAGTGCGTACCTGTCGTCCACCACAGTCAACATCGCCGAGTACACCGGCATGAACAATGGAGTCTTGGCGGCGATTGACCGAGGCATAACTGACTTGATTATCGTGGGTGACGCCCGGCTTGCAATCCAGCAATCCATGGGGTGATAGCATGCAAGAAGGAAACGTTGCAAGTAGAGCTAGCTCGACACAAGGATCTCACGAAGCAACTCAACTCGGTCCGGTATCGACACATAGCGCGACACTATAACGCAGCGGCTGATTCTTTCGCTACGGAAGCACTCGAAGCTAAAGCTGGACGAGTAATTCTCAGGACGGATAGGAAAGCAGAACTGAGAATGATTAACCGAGTAGCCGAAGAACTGTACGCCATAGACAACCCAGCGGAAACCCCGGTTGTCACGGCAGTCACTCGTAGCCGAGTACGCCGAGTTCACTTTGAGGACGAGCTGGATGAAGACTCGGCTAGAGCAAGAGGAGTAAGTCAGGATCACGAAGCCATATCAACAAATCCTGGAGAATTCGCGTTTGAAAGCAGTGGAGATGAATTCGAACAAGTCAGCAGGGCGTCGACTCGGCGGACTAACCACACGACCCCGAATGTCGAAAAGGGTCGCAGATGGAGTCAGCCCAGACAGCTCAGAATGCCAACGACATTGATCCAGTGACAGT